AGCCTCCTTCTCTGAGGACACAGCCGGTGTCGGAAGGCGGCTGCTGGGAATAAAACAGAGGCTCAAGTTGCTCAGCAGTTTCTTTTTCTTTAATTTTAATTTTCTAATTTAAGATTTCATGTGTATTTTATTATTTTTATTATTTTTTAAAAATACTTTATTTCTTTATCTTTAGAGGGGAAGGGAAGGAGAGAGGGAGAGAAACATCAATGTATGGTTGCCTTTCGTGCGTCCCCTGCTGGGAACTGGCCCGCAGGGAACTGGCCTGCAACCCAGGCATGTGCCCTGACTGGGAATCGAACTGCGATTGTCTGGTTCGCAGGCCCGCGCTCAATCCACTGAGCTACACCAGCCAGAGCAGTAGATTTCATGTATATTTTAGAGAGAGGGGAAGGGCAGGAGGAGAGCCAGGGAAACACCCACATGTAAGAGAAACACTGATTGGTTGCCTCTCGAACGCCCCCAGCTGGGGACCTGGCCTGAAACCCAAGTGTGAGCCCTGACTGGGAATTGAACCTGAGACCTTTGGGTTTGCGGGCCGGCATTCGACCCACTGAGCCACACCAGCCAGGGCAGCAGTTTCTAAAATTGTTTTGTTAGTACATGTCTTTGAAAAATGATACTGAAAAGTAGGAGAACAGTTTTTTCCTTAGATGTCACTAGACTTACGTAATCATTGCAGCTTTGTCTCAGTCTTAGACTATGCGGTAAGCCACTGATTGACCTTCTGGGGGCTGTGCTTTTCCTGAAAAAGCCACACGACACAAGCAGGCGGCATCTTCCGATTCTCGCTCGACGTTCGAGGTGGAATCATGAGAATGTTCAAGGACTTCATTCCTTTTCCCAAGGTCCTTCTTCCACCCTTTGATGCTCAAATCGATGCCTTCGGAATCTTCCCTTCCCTTCCTGGCTCGCTGCTTCTCTCTGGAGCCCACAAGCACCTCCGCATTCTCCTTGGCTTGCAACAACACTCGGGGTTCAGACCTCCCAGCCGGGTGGTGATGTGGGAAGGGAATTTTTGAATTCAGAGATTTCTTTCTGCAGCAAAGCCTGACTTGGGATTATTATTTTTTGGTTGACCTGAAACTTCCCCTGGCAGGACAGAGCGATGACCTCATCGTCACGGCTGGGGTGTGTCTCTGTTTTCTGGAAGCCCCGGGCCTCCTGATGCAGTGGAGGGGGGTTCCAGGAGATCGCTGTTTGAGTGGACTAAGAAAAAAAAAAAAAATATATATATATCAGTTTATTGTTTTAACGAATAGTAAACCCACTGCATGTATAACCTAAATAAGGAGGAGGAAAGACAAAGCTCAGGGGGTTTGCCCAACTTCCCACGAGGTCAGTGACCCAGGAGACCCCGCCCCCCATGCTTAGCTGCCCAGTTGGCCACGCCTCTAACCCAGGACCAGCCCACACTGGAGGGCATTGCAGAGGGAACCTTGTCCATCAAGATAATTTCCCAGCTCTTTCATCCACCTTATTTACCACTCAACTTGGGTCCAAAAGCCTCTTGGTTGCTTTAAAAATATATGTTTGTTGACTTTAGAGAGAGAGAGAGAGGAAGAGAGAGAGAGAGAGAGACAGACATGGATGTGAGAGAGAAACACTGATCAGTTGCCTCCCATTTGTGTCCTGAATGGGGATTGAACCTGCAACCCAGGCATGTGCCCTGGTAGGAAATCGAACTCCTAACCTTCTGGTACATGGGATGATGCTCCACCCACTGAGCCACCCCGGCCAGGGTGCTCTTGGCTGCGTTTGAAAATTAAAACCAGGTTCCCAGATCAGAGCTCTGTCCCCACGGAGAAGATCCCAAATAATATGCGACAGGCCTCAAGGCAGATCCCCAAAACAAGCTCCTGAAATATTTTAAGCAACAGAATAAATGTTTATTTTCCCAAGAGGACTCTCTGAAGGGGAACACACTCATTTGGACACGTTCCTTAGAAAAAGCATATTTGTCACGACAATCCATTTGCACCTCATACAGTCACGGGCAGGAATCCAAGAACCGGAGTCCCCAGTGCATCTCCTTGGAGCTCGGCACTTGCCGCGAGAGCCAGGTGGGCCCTGTGACTTGTCAGGACTGAGGCAGATGAAGAGAAAATTAAACTCTCTTCCAGCTGGGCAGCTGTGTTTGATATCAACAGCGAAGGGACATTTTGCTTGTGTGCCTTGAATTGTAATGAGTAAGGCGTGTTCTCGGTTGGACGCAGTGCAGGCTGAGAGCAAGAACGCCCTTACCAGGAGAGAGGCAGGCTGCGCCCGGTCAGGAGGGCCACGTGTGGCTTGGTCTCTGGGGGGGGCTGCCTGCTTAGCTTACACAGGCCCCGTTCTTGCACACCCTGGCCGGCCTCTGCTTCCCTGCTCAGCAGAGAGATTCAGGTGCAAACATATGGCAGGTGCTGCTGGAAGTCTGCACAGGAACAAAACAGGGCCCATTGATTTATCGGATTGGTTGCTTATTTGTTTTCATTCATCACACATTCATGGAGCCCCCACTATGGGGCAGCCAGATGCAGAGGATGCCAGGATGAAAGGACCCACACCTCTGCATGCAGGAAGAGATCAGGGAGGAGTAGGGGAGCGAGGCAGCTGTGTCCAAGGCTCGGGCAGGAGCTGGGGGCTCTGAAAAGGGAGTGCCTGGGGCCCCCAGCAGGTCAGGGACAGGGTCAGCAAAGCTCTGCCAAGCATCTGGTGCATAAATAGAGTTTTGAGTCTATTCTGGCGGATGACCATGAACTGAGGCCACTTGTGGTCAGTGCACAGAGAAGCATAGCCAAGGTCTTTAGGAAACACAAAGAAGAGGCCACACGTAGCTGGAGAGTAGAGAAGGGGGGCACTAGGAAGGCTTCGTGGAGAAGCGGGGAGTTTGAGCAGGGGGTGTTGCCGGGCAGCCTTTGCCAGCAGAGGGAACAAGGGAGCGCGTGGAAGAGACCAGGGCGTGCTTCCTGCGTGTCTGAGTTTGCCTGGGGTCGGCTTTACGGGAGGAGTGGGCGGAGGCAGGTCGCAAAGGGTCTGCGTCCTGTCGGTTTTCCCGCCATTGGTCCACGGAGGAGGAGCGGAAGGGGCCGATCAGGGTCACGGCGCGATCGCGGGGCCTCATGGGAGGGAGACCGGAAGAGAGAGGGGCGTTCCGCGGTTTTGTTTCCTCGCTGGGAGTTGCCTTTTAATGGCACACCGCCCTCCCTCGGGTCTTCTTTCGTGAGAAGCAGCAATACCTGTGACTGCCGGTACGAACCCCACCTGTCCCAGCTGCCGGATCTGGTCTCACCTGGGACCTGCTGTCATCAGGAGGGTGGCACTTGTCAGTGAGCTGAGGCCTGGGAGAGAGGGAGTGGGACAGGGTTGGCTTCTGGATTGTGTATGTGTATGAGAGAGAGAGAGAGAGAATGAATAGGAGTTCGTTTGGGGAAAGGAGTTCATTCCTGACCAAATCGCGAGCCTCTTTGTTGGGAGAAGGGCAGAGAGCGCAAAGGGCTCTCCGAGATGACATGGTGTGGAGCCGTTCTGAGCAGGTGACAGGCCCTCCCAGGTCTGCGCCACACTTTACTTCCTGCCTGCGTGCAACCGGTGTGTTCGCAGCCTGGACTAGGTGTGCAACGTGCTGGCCACAGTGTCAAAGGAAAACGGGGAGCTAGACAAGTCTCCGAAAGGTGGGAGGGGCTTTCCGCTGAGGATCTGCTGAGAGATTCACACGTTTTTATACGGAAAAGGTGAGGGCTAAGACACACGGGTGGGGTTTTGGAGCCACTCGGATGGAACGAGCGGGAGGAACTTGCTCACCAGACCCGAGACTCCCAGGGGGGGAGCTCTGCTGGGGACTGGAAGGAGGCCGCTGTCAGGACGGCGAGAGGAAGTGCAGTGAACAGCACACATACGGGAGTGGAGGCCTCTGCGTCGGGGTTGAGTCAGCGTGGAAATGGGTGTGAGAATCGGCCACAATTCCAGGGCAATAGGCCTGTCGCAGGATGTGAGGGTAAGAGAGGGGCGTCCGGGGCCTGTGCTCAATCCTTTGATGTCGATGCCAGAGGGGTGATGACGCCTTCCAAGGAAGCCCCGCTCAGTGGCACAGGCCTGGGAGGCCACACCTTGCACAGAAAGGAGGATTCTGTTTTATTCTGCGTTTACTTGAATCTCTGAAGTGACCATTATTTAACCCTAGATTTTTTTAAATCCTGACTCAAGGATGTGCTTGTTGATTTTAGAGAGAGGGGAAGGGAGGGAGAGAGAGAGGGAGAGAAACATTGATCAGTTGCCTCCTGTACGCACTCTGACCGAGAATTGAACCCACAACCTGGGCATGTGCCCTGACCAGGAATTGAACCCATGACCTTTTGGCTTACAGGATGGCTTACAAGATGATGCTCCAACCAACTGAGACACACAGCCGGGGGCAAACCTTAGAATTTTTAACCTCTTGATCTTTATCCCAACCCCCCCCCCCATTACGCTGATGTCATGCTAATCGATTTCTCCAGACTGGTCTAAGCGATGAGGCTGCCGGGGTGCGTCTGAAACCGAAAGGGCAGTCTTGTAAACAGACATGGAGGGCCAGCTTTCTGTCACCGAACATCCCTTGGGGCCAGGAATGCACACACACACACGCACGCACGCACGCACGCAGGGTCACTGCCACACATCCTGGGCTAGCGGGTAGATCCTGTGTTGCCCCAACTAAATGTTTTGTCAGAGTTGCTAGTTAGGAACCAAACAGACTGGATTGTTTTTTCTTTCCGTTTTCTCCACTGGTGCAGTGCTTTGGAGAAGTGATGTGGTCAGCTTACAGAGGGTTGTTATAGGGAAGACCTGAGAAATTGCTATCTGAGTACATGACTTCCAGCAAGGCAGCAGGGGCTGACTCCTGCCTGTGACCTTGAGACATGGGAGGAAGAGAGAGTCTGACTCTCTGACTTAGATGGGAGTGGTGTCAGGGTCACAGAAAGCAGGGACCCTGCAGGCCTGGTCTGACCAGTGTGTGACCCTATGACCCGGGGCAGGAGACTGCTGGCTTCTGGCGGCTATCGCCTCCTTGACCTTGAATGAAGAGCTGCTTTACCGGGTGGTGCCCAGGGACCAGGACTTCCAGCAGAACTACGCAGGAATCTTTCATTTTCAGGTATTGTGCATCGGGCCCCCCTGAAATCTTCTGAATCAGAAGCTCTGGCGGCGGGGGGTTGTGTGGCCTGTGTTTTAATGGTCCCTCCAGGTAGTCTTGGAGCACACTGGGGTTTGAGAACTGCTGCTTCAATGTGTCCATCCAATCACCCACACGTCCACCCCCTGCTGTCAACCCCAGGCCTCATGGCCTTGAGAAAAGTGCTTGGGAGCGAGTGTCAGGAGATGGGGGCCTGAGTCATATTCTGTCACCACTGCGTGAGGCCAGGCCAGTTTTCTTTTTTAATTAAAAAAAAAATTTTTTTATTGATTATGCTGTTACAGTTGTTCTATTCCCCCCTTCATTCCCCTCCACCCTACCCCCTGTCCCCACCATTACCCCCCCTTTAGTTTATGACCATGTGTCTCAAGTTCTTTAGATTCTATATTTCCCATGCTATTCTTGCCCCCCCCCCCATCTATTTTCTATCTACTGTCTATGCTACTTAATTTCTGTACCTTCTCCCCCCTTCTCCTCCTCCCACTCCCCGGTTGCTAACCCTCCTTGAGATCTTCATTTCTATGTTTCCACACCTGATCTAGCTGTCCTTTTAGTTTGCTTTTGTTTTAGGTGTGGTTGTTAATAACTGTGACTTTGTTATCCTTTCACTTTTCATGTTTCTTTAACTTCCTTTTCTTAGATAAGTCCCTTTAACTTTTCATATAATAAGGGCTTGGTGATGATGAACTCCTTGAATTTGATCTTATCTGAGAAGCACTTTATCTGTCCTTCCATTCTAAATGAAAGTTTTGCTGGATAGAGCAATCTTGGTTGTAGGTCTTTGGATTTCATGACTTGGAATACCTCTTTCCAGCCCCTTCTTGCCTGTAAGGTCTCTTTTGAGAAATCCGCTGACAGTCTGATGGGGACTCCTTTGTAGGTGACTGTCCCCTTAGCTCTTGCTGCTTCTAGGATTCTCTCCTTCATTTAAATTTTGGCTAATGTAATTATGATGTGCCTTGGTGTGTTCCTTCTTGGGTCCAACTTCTTTGGGACTCTCTGAGCTTCCTGGATTTCCTGGAAGTCTATTTCCTTGGCCAGATTGGGGAAATTCTCCTTTATTATTTGTTCAAATAAGTTCTCCACTGGTGGCTGTGCCTTTCCCCCTTCTGGTACCCCTATAATTCGGATGTCGGAGCGTTTAAAGATGTCCTGGAGGTTCCTAAGACTGTCCTCATTTTTTTAAATTCTTGCTTCTTCACTCTTTTCTGTTTGGCCATTATTTGCTTTCTTCTGGTCCACTCCATTGATTTGAGTCCCAGTTTCCTTTTCATCGCTATTGGTTTCCTGTGCAATTCCATTCATTTCAATTAGTTTCGCCTTCATATGTTTGTCTAATTTGTGGCTATAATCAACCAGTTCTGTGAGGATCCTGATCACCTGTGTTTTAAACTGTGAGTCTGAGAGTTTTGCTATTTCGTCATCGCTTAGATTTATAGGTTCCGGGGCTTTGAGCTCTTCTTGAGCCATTTTTGGTCTGTTCTGGCCCTTTAAGTGTGAGCGGTGCCTTGGACTACCAGGTCGCTGGGTTGTGACGCTGTATGTGGGGGTGTGGTCAGAGCGGGAAAATGGCGGCGCCCTCCCTGCTGCTTGCCTCGGGACGGTCCAATTGCCCACTCCCTCGCTTGTCTATTCGTGCACAAATGTGCAACCACAGTCATCCCACAGCCCTGCTCCCTCGCTGTTTCCCTGCGGTCGGTCGCTCGCTTCGTCGCTCGCTCGGTCGCTCACTAGGTCCAACCCTGCGCCTGGATCCACGTGGCGCCTGAGTCCGTCTGACGGAGTTTTCCTGTGCAACTCCACTCCACTAGCTGCTGGTTTTGCCCCTTACCGGTCAGACTGAAGAATTTGTTGTTAACAGACTTCCGAAAAGTTCAATTTTCCGTGTTCTGGCCGTGTTTTCTGTTGCTAATATTAAGTTGTCTCTAAACTTGGTTGTGTGAGAAGGCACGGCACATCCACCTATGCGTCCGTCTTGGCGGAAGTCTCCCGGGCCAGTTTTCTTACCCACAACCTCAGACACTGCACTCGGTGCTTCCTGATTTCTTCGGTGTCTCCCATGTACACGGATAAGTAAGACACAAATCCTGCTCGTGAGGAGCTTGGTGTGCACTAACCTGCCCAAGACTCGGACACCGAACCTCACGGAGGCTCCTCCCACCAGCCTAGCCCCTCGCGCAGCTCTGTGTCTGCCCTCTGCAGTTCTGGCAGCGCGGCGAGTGGGTGGACGTGGTGGTGGACGACAGGCTGCCCGCCAAGGACGGGGAGCTGCTCTTCCTGCACTCGGAAGAAGGCAGCGAGTTCTGGAGCGCCCTGCTGGAGAAGGCCTACGCCAAGTAAGCTGGGAGACCCTCTGTCTTGGAGGATCTCACCTGCCCCCGACCCCCAAACTTCGGGTGTCACGCCCAGGACTTTCCCAGCACCTGGACCTCGTGTGCTGTGTCCCTCAGTAACGAGAGAAACAGAAAGTTGGGCTGGGGGGTTTGAAAGCTCTGCTCTGTCCCGTGGGAGTGGGTGAGTGGGGGCAAGTCAGAGTCTGCTGGCCCTCTGTCCCAGAGTCGTGCTTCTCAAAGGCACTCCATGGTCAGAGCCTTCTTTTGGGTTCTTTCAATTAGCTTTGTTTTCTGGCACCCCTTTTCTAGCACCTATTCCTACAGCAGGTCCCATGGAGTGCCTCTTAGTCTTGAGGGAAGGTCCCCCCATCCCTATTCATGCCCCACCCAACACTCAGAGACTCAAGAAGCTAGAGTCAGCTCTGGAAAGATTGCATTTAACTTTTCCTAGGAGTGGGTGGCCTGGTGGGAGGTGGTCTGAGGTTCATTTCTGGCATAGCGCTGGGTTGGCCACGTGCAGCTGGGGCCACAGCAAGATCGGCAAAGGCTCCACCTTCTAGACGACACCATGAACTAGCCTGGTCCCAGCCCCGACCCACGAGGTCTCCTCCCTGGGGTAGCTAATGGCTGTGGGTGGTGCTTTTTTTTCTTTTTCAACAGGCTCAACGGCTCTTACGAGGCTCTCACTGGGGGGTCTACCATGGAGGGGTTTGAGGATTTCACAGGGGGCATCTCCGAGTTCTTCGACCTGAAGAAGCCGCCAGCCAGTCTGTACCAGATCGTCCGGAAGGCGCTCCGCGTGGGCTCTCTGCTGGCCTGCTCCATCGATGTGAGCCGATGGCTTCTCTGCTCCTCTCCCCTTGTGTGATAGCGAAGGGACCACATGGGGATGAGAGAACAGGCCCAGGGAGGTGCTGGGCCAGAGCAGAGCCTGGGGCTTAATGGGCAAGTCCAGGGACATATTGGTCCCGAGCATGAGGCAGCCAGTTAATATCTAATCAGTGGGTAGGGATAGGGGTTGGTCTTGTGGTAGGAGCCCTAGGTTCTCCGGACAGAGCCCCTTTGGTGCTATGAAAACTGCCTGAAGAACATGGCCTTGATCTCCGGATCCTGGCCCTACCTTTGCTCTGCCTTCTTACAAAGCAGGTTTGGGATTTTGGAAAACCAATATGGACTCTGTAGAAGCATGAGGTTCTGAAACCAGGGGCCGCACCCTCTCTAGAGGGTTGGCGGAGGGGGGTGCTGCGGTGGCGTGGACGCTAGAGCCTGGGCACTACCAGGCCTGTGGCCTTTTGTCACCAGCTCTTTCTCTCTCTGCTGCCCTCCCCTGGTGACCTCAGGCATGCGAATGTGGTGTGTCTGAAAATCCTAGCAGATTTTGATGGAGTGTTTGTGATGGAGGAGCGACTTGGGGCGTGGGGGAGGGGCGGGCTGTGAAGCAGGAATGATGGTGGGGAAACTCGGTCACCACACCCAGTGGAGGGCCAGAAGTTGTCCCGGGCAGTGGTCATGGAGAATCGGTCTTCTTCAGGCAGCATGAGGTCACTGTTGGAGGATAAATGACTTCCCAGTTTCCCGTGACATTTGAAAGCCTGGTAATCACATTCCAGGCCTGGTAGCCACACAGCACCCTGCCCGGAACGGCAGGCCTGATTACGGAGGGGCCGGATGGACAGGCTCCCTTTGCGCACCTGGGGTGCATTGCCGCACCTGCGCCCCTGGCCCCACGCAGGGGCCCCTGGGCCTGGGTGCTGTGTCTTTGGGAGGCGTTTTAGGACCAGCGCCAACATGGTCAGGGCTGACCATTCTGAGCGGACTGTGTTCTCAACCCAGGTCTCCAGTGCAGCAGAAACGGAAGCTATCACCAGCCAGAAGCTGGTCAAGAGTCACGCGTACTCAGTCACCGGAGTTGAGGAGGTAAAATCAGACAGGGGGAGCACAAGGGCAATAAGCCCTGATGTGAGCACGAGTCTAGAGCAACCCCCAGGAAACTCTGGGGAAACTCTCTCTCTGGCTGCACAGAGCCCTGGGCACCACGCATGTGCTGTGGTCAGCTCTTGCTCGGTGCTGGGGCCCATCTGACTCTCAGCCATTCAGATGTGGGCAATGGGACCTCAAATGCAGGTTCTCCTCTGGGGCGTGGCCAGGAGGAGGGAGAAGGCTCTAGAAGGAAGGTATAGACATGGTCAGTTAGATCTCATTTCACAGGTCAAACAGTAGAACTCCATAGGTTCTCCAAAGAGAAAAGTTACCTTCCCTGTTGGGGGGGGGGGCATCAATGGGATGAAGTACAGGTATCCCTCACCCTCCAACCCAAGGCGAGAGTGTGGGCTGTGACTTTCATTACTTTCATTACTATATCATTTATATACATCTACTCACATATGCATTCATTGGTTGATTCTTGTATGTGCCCTGACTGGGGATCGAACCTGCAGCCTTGGTGTATCAGGCCAACGCTCTAACCAACTGAGCTACCCAACCAGGGCCCTGAGAATATGTCTTTGAAATACTTAGCACCATGCCTAGTCCACACTTGGTGCTCCATGAATGCTAACTGCTGTGCTATTAGTATTTTCTGGAAAGGTGTTTGTCATTATTAGGTCTGATATATTAACACCTGCGTCAGCTATGAAATATGAACCCACCGCAAAGCAGACAAAAGCTTGTTTTTGTGTTGAATTCACTATTTACTCAGCCAAATTGTGGCAAATAGAGCAGTTGGCCGAGGCCTGACAACACACTTTAAAAGCAAATAAAAGTGTGGTCACTTGGGGACATTTGACAAATGGCATGCGAATCCCAGGAGCCGACGTGAACCCGTGTGTGGACCTTGCAGGTGGATTTCCGTGGCCGCCCGGAGAGGCTGATCAGACTCAGGAACCCGTGGGGCGAAGTGGAGTGGACGGGAGCCTGGAGTGACAAGTAGGTGCTGTCCTCCGTCCCCCAGTGCGGGGCTCCCTGGGCGGGAGGGCATCACTCACACACACAATCCTGGGGACAAGGACGGTGGAGTGAGTTCGGCAGCATTTCCTGCCCTCAAATCACACAGCCTGTTCAAAAAGGGTGGTCAGTGGTTCCAGGTCTGGGAAAGGCAAAAGGAAACCCACTTAGCCGGCGCCTTTGACCTTGGGTCTCTGCTCGGCATTTGCAAGTTGGGCGTCTCCCTTGGACCGGGCCCTGGGCCGCACGGTCTGTCTGCTTTCTGCCCGCCGCACCTCGGCGGTCCAAAGGTGAGATCCATCAGTCACAATCGGATTCCTTCCGCTCCGCAAACCCGGTCTGTCTGACAAAGGCCAGCCCCACAGGAAACGACCACTTAGAAAGTGGAACTCTGTCCTGGGAGCCAACTGGCCACAGCAGGCAGTGATGAATGGAGCACCACCCACGCTCCCAGTGGGCTGATACTGACCTTTCCCAGCCAAGTCGTGAGTGACCAGAGAGGCTCCTCCTGGCTGGGCCTCTCCACTGGGGAGAGGAAGTCAGTGCGAGGTGGTGTCCCAGGACCGCTGTGCCCTGGAATCCAGGTCGCTGAGGGTGCTGGGCATGTGGGACAATTTCCTTCTAGTCACCACTGCTGGCACGGGGGTGGCAGGTTGTCACTGGGAAAGGAAATAGAATTTACCAGGGTCATTGGCGAAGAGCCACCAGAAATGGGAATGGTCATAATAATGGCCCAACGTGCCCTTATACGTGCATGTAACCCACGCTCGGCCCTTGAGACCGTGATGCTGGCAGGGCTCTGAGGGGGCTTCCTTCCATGTAGTCACACGTTACGGCTCAAAACCGTCCTGCTCCCGTGAAGGAGCAGGGGTCTCTGGGGCCCAGCGTGGCCGCCCTCATGAAAGGGCGACCACCCGAGATGGTTCAAAACCCCAGTGCCCGGTTCTGCCAAATGAAAGCATTCAGGAAAGAGAGTTTTTAAAAAGATGGATCTGGATGTTGCTCTGTTATTCAGACATCACCTGCACGTTTTAGGTAAAGGACAGGTGGCTGGGGACGGCATTCGAACAGAGTTTGCGGGCATTGCCATGGAAAGGCCACCAGCAGGCAGCCTCCCAGGGTGACATCACTTTAGGGAAATTGCTACAGAATCGGGCCTGGTTGTCCTCCGCACAGGCTCAGGGAGTGGGCTGTGGCCCTGGGCCCAGAGGTGGCCAGACCCTCTCACAGTACCTTCCCCCAGACCCGCAGATAAGCCCGAGTGAGACTTACTAATCGGTGCCATGTCCCCATGTCTGTGCTCAGCGGCCTGGGATTCCTAATTAGAAATGTGAAGCTTGTCCAGAGAGTGAAATTCGGGCAAGATCATGGCATCATGTTCCTGCCACAGGTCTGGGGTCACCCTGCTAGTGGCCACAGTGTCCCTGTCCCCAGCCTGTGTCCCCTCCCCACACTGTCCTGCCTTTTCTCCAGGCCTTTTTTTTTTTGTTTGTTTGTTTAATTCCATTTGCTGCCTTTCAGGGGACATTTGGCTGCAGTGAATAGTTTGTATCACAACAAACCCTTCAGGACCGGCCTCTGCTTCATTTAAAAACATAAAAAATTCATTTAATTTTCTCCCCAGCGCCCCGGAGTGGAATTACATAGACCCCAGGCAGAAGGAAGAGCTGGACAAGAAGGCTGAGGATGGAGAGTTTTGGTGAGTGTGTGTTGTGTGCCGGAGAGCTGGCCCGCAGCTGCGGCTCGCTCCCTGTCCGCATGTGGGGCAGCGTAACTCTGGGTGTTCCAGAAATCCAGCTCGGTGCTGGGCCAGGGGGCTCTTGTTCGCCTCCCCTTTGCCCCAGTGTGGTTCCACCCCCCTGCCAGGATGCCCACAGCGTCAGCAGCGCAAGATCTGGGCCCGCACCGTGGGTTAGTTCTCACCCATCTTCCCCACCTTCTGAAGCTCTCCCACGAAGTAAGAGCAATCCCTGCACATCTTTGATCTGAGACGCAGCTCACCATCTACATAGGGCGACTTCCTATGTGGGTGGGCTAAGTGGGGCCATAAGGACACCCCGTGACTGTGACACGGCTTAGAGGCCTCTCTGCTGGACGTCAGTCAGAACGAAGTAGGAGGAACTCCCTTGCAGGCTTCCCTGGAGCCCCGGCCCTGGAGGCAGGGGCTTTGTTCGGACCACCTCCGGGGGTCTCTTCCAGCTTCCGGCTCATTCTCTTTGCTCGGCTGTGCAGACCTCACCCTGGACAGGAGCCCCTGAGGATTTGTCCCCGGGGGCTGTAGCGAAGCCCAGCACTGGCCAGTGCCCCGCAGGCCTGCCTTCCCTCAGCCTCCCAGCCCTGCTCTCTTGACGGAGAGCCCTCCGCTGCCTCTGCCCCCAGGATGTCTTTCTCGGATTTTCTGAGGCAGTTCTCTCGCCTGGAGATCTGCAGCCCGTCCCCGGACTCCCTGAGCAGCGAGGAGGTTCACAAGTGGGGCCTGGTCCTGTTCAACGGCCGCTGGACACGGGGCTGTGCTGCTGGTGGCCGCCAGAACTTCCCAGGTGAGAGGGCTGGCGGCCAGGGCTGCCTGGGCCGCCTCTTTAGGCCTGTCTGCCGAACCCGGGGTCTTTACGAGTTCATCTTTGGGCAGTGCCTTTGCACTCTGTTCTCTGGCTTCTGGGCACCATTCGGAGGCCCCGCTTACCCTGGGGCTTGGAGACCAGGGCAGCAGGGGTGGGGGCGGAGCCTCCGCAGCTTTCACCCGAGGCCCCATCTCAGGTGACACCCTTCTCCAGCTTCTGTGTGTTCAGACTGTTCCTGCTTCACCCGCCCCCAAGAACGTGCTTCTCCATACTAGCCGTGTCTTGACACCTTGCGCTGAGGCCTCTGTTTGTTCCCCCCAGGCCCAGGCGGCTGGCACCCATCCCAGTGAGCTCTGGGACAGAGTGGCTAGTGGCGCGCCAGACGAACACAGGGTCCTCCCTGCCATCTTGAGTGACACACCATCACAGTAGCCCTTTCTTTGTGTTTGCTCCTGAGTCCCAGGTGGGGCTGCCTGGTCTTGTGGGTCATGGGTGGCCACAGCTAGAGCCTGAAGGTGGCCCCTCCCCGCTCTCCTGGGAGCCACTGGAGCTCTCTGTCGCTGGTGGGAACGCTCTGGTGCAAAGTCATTGCTTCTGCACTAACCCTCATCTCGTTACGAAGGTGGGAAGCTGCCATTCCCAGGAGACCACTAATCCACACCTGTGCAGGCTCCTCCTAGGTCCAGTCGGCTGAGGCAGCCCCCGAGGAGGAAATCCAAAAAAATCGACCCCACGTCTTTAAGGAGGATGAAGGAAGGAAGGCAACACCCACTTCCTCCACTGTCCACCTGCCCTGGCCCATGCTCCCTCCCGGTCTGTGGCGACTTGGTGGTTGACTTGGGCTTGTATTCACGGGCAGGGCCATCTGCCTTCTGCTCACACATCGCTCACTGCCGGCCTGTGCTTGGTGCCGAGGAAGCAGAATTGTTATAAAATCCCACACGGGGCAGGCTCTCCCCTTCATCCCCTGGCCAACCCTGAACTGCCACCCAGGGTGACAGAGATGACGCTGAGCAGACGGGAAGGAGGCCAGGTCCTTTCCTGCCACCGTCACTCAGCTTACCAGCTGAGGGACCCTGGGAGGGTCCCTTTCCCGAACCCCAGTTTCCTAAATCTCAAAACTGAGTGGTAACACCCACCGCGTGAAGCGCTCTGTAAACAGGGAGCGTTGCACCAGCGCAGGTATCATTTTTATGGCTTATTCTCATCCTCCGGCTCTGCCAGAGCGTAAAAAAAAAAAATGTAGCGATTGCCCTCATGTTGCATGTGGGAGAAATTAAAATATGCTCACCATTAGCAAGCTCTTAGAAAAGGCGTAGGGAATCTGCGTGGACCACCGGGGGGCTCAGAACGGCAGGGGGGTGCCTAAGGTAGTCACCACGCCATCTGTGCTGCCAACTAGCTGTCAATGGCTGCCCTTTGGTAACGCTGTGAGTTTGGGAGGTCGCACAACGGTCTCTGCCTCCCCTGGAACTGGACCACCTTTGGCTGTGAAATCTGAAATAAAAGCTTCGAGAAGTGGAGATTCTGGGGCGGTGGAATTGAATAAGTAATCAGATTGTGAAGGAAAAAATAATCATCCGTGGCTCGTGGTCATCTGTGAGTGCCTTGTTACTTCATCCAGGGGGACCCTCATGTAGAGCCTGGGAGAAAGAATGTCCCCTCTGTCCACCCCTGTCTGTCCCCAGGATGCGTCGTTATGGAAATTGGGGAGGCCCTACTGTGGAAGTGCCCATCAGGCTGTCTCCTTCAGCTGCACTCTGCCACTCGACTGCCACAGCCTGACTGTCACAGCCTTGCCATGTGCCTTCAGTCACCCCGTTTAACCTCACTGTGCTTCAGCTTGTAGTCACTGTTTTGAGAGATTACTTTCAAAAGTCCTGCTGGAAACGAAGCCGTGCTTTTAGCTCTCCGTAGGCAGTGGGACAGGCACACTTCTTAATTGCCTGTTACTGTGTCTTGTGCATTATGAAGGAACTTCCTCTGGACGAGGTTGTATCACACCCGTGGGCTGCAGCACGGGAGCAGTCAAGGCAGGGCTCTGGGCCAGCGGACAGGAGTCAGCAATCAGGGCAGCTTCGGGCTGTGACGTGAGGCCGTGGCCTGCCTGAGAGAGAGCACATGGCCGTGGGACCGCGGTTGCCAGGGGACAAGAGAGGCTGTCTTTCTAGCCTGTCTGCAGGGCGCCCCCTTCCCTGGGACACACTGGTTACCTGGAGTCCTCCCTCCCTCTAGAAGGTGGGGCCGTCTTCACAGCCCAGGAGATGAGACCAAGGCAACGCACATCACTTCTCCGGAAAGATCTGGAAGTGACTTCTTTGGGGGCGGGTGTGCCCAGTGTAGCCTGGGACCGTGGGGGACCGTGGATATTCCCAGTCAAGCACTCCTGGGCTCCTAGTTGGTCAAGTGGAAGTGTGCTAAGCTTCTGAATACTGTGGGATGCATCGGTGGGTTTGTGGGTAAGGCAGGGGGACAGGAGAAAATGCCTCACCACCTTGGAAAGGAAACTTGCTTTATGAGGCTGCTCACCAAGTAGAGTTGGGCTGGAAGGATGCTTTCTTTGGGATGATCCAGGTTCTTTCCTTTCCTTTTGTTCTTCCTGACCCCTTACTCCGCATGGTGGGAACCACCACCACCTGGTGCCTTTTAGCCACTTACTGGACCAATCCCCAGTTTAAAATCTGTTTGGATGAGGTGGACGACCACCGGGAGGCAGGCACGGGCGAGCCCTGCTGCATGGTGCTGCTGGGCCTGATGCAGAAGAACCGCAGGTGACAGAAGAGGATGGGACAGGGATGCTGAGCATCGGCTACACTGTCTACGAGGTACCCCGAGCCGGCTCCAGCCTTCATTGCACTTGGTGTCTTGGGTTGCATATTGTGCCCAGTAATTGGAGCACATATTCCTATGGCTTGCATGTTTCTAGTCCAGCATTCTCCTGGCTCACCTAACTGCCTCTCCCAGTGGCCTTACTGAGGCCTGAATTCCACAGTTAGAGATTCACTCCTATGGCTTAATCTCTGCTGTTCCCCCGGAGACATGGAGTTCATTAAACTTCACATTTTGCTGGGGGCTCAATGTCAACATGCTTATTAGATAATTTCCAAGTATAGGTTTCTCAGGGGATAGGAACCCAGAACATGGGGCACAAGGCATTTGAGGTGACACAAAGAATCCGAGGGGCATCACAGAACAGGGGGAGGCTGGACATAGGGACCAAGGACAGACACCCCTTCCTCCCTGGACAGCCTGACGACTCTTGTTGGAAGCCACAGGGCATATCGACTGAAGGGAGGGACGCGGTTACTTGGCCAGTTTGGGTTTCGGTGTCCTGGGACTGGGGGCCGCAGCTGACCCTGGTGTCTGGCTGCAGTGACCACCTGCCTGGGGAGCTCAGAGTCTCACAGCCGCACTCTGGCTCTGAACAGGCCTAGTCGGGAATCCAGGTTTTCATGTGAGCAGAGACTCCTTGTGACAAATTCTGGAGGGATTTACCGCGGCGGTTTTAATACGATCTTGGTAAAAATGAACCTCTTGGGAAAAATTCAGTTCTTCCCAATCAGGAAGACCCAGTGCTGGCTGGGGGCCCGACTTCTCGATATAAATTACTGCAATAATTTATAGAAAGAGAAGCATGGTAATAAGAAACCAGCAAGGAAAAGGGCAGTTTCGAGCTCACACCACCTCTGGCCCCTTTCTTCCCCTTACTTCAGCGTTTAGGGCTTTCGCGTTCAGGGTGCGTGCATGTGTGTGCATTTTACTTTGGAAAATACTTCCTGCTTGATGTCAGGAGAAAATAATTCCAAACAAATAACCTCAGCTCTACGCCTGCTTAGCACTGCCATCCCCACCTAGAATGTAAATAACACTAGAGTCTTTGCTTCTAGGGCCAGCAAGCTGGGAAGGAAGGCCCTTGTTGTGTGCATAACACATCGGCATGCTTCCGTGAGCACCTACTCTGTGCCAGGTGCTGTGCAAGGATCTGAGACTTGGGGGCACAGCTCACGGTTCCTGCTGCCAAGGGGCTCACAGTGAGCTACTACAGGGCAGGTCGGATGGCTATGCCGGGGACCTACATGGACCACACATCTGGAAAGGAAAGAGTAGAACCTTTTTTTTCTTTCAGATTGCTAGGTCTCGGTCTACAGATGGCCTTGAACTTCATCAATGATGTTTCAGTTTCAGAAATGCTGACTAGTCTCTCACTTTAGCGCAGACCTGCTTCCCGGGGGGGCCGGGATCTCACAGTGTGTCTGCAAGACGTGGGGAGGGATGAGAGGCACGGAGAGGGAGGACCTCGGTGCTTTCAGGTGACCCGCGCCTTTCCTCTGCCCCGCGGGTCCCCCAAGAGGTGCGTGAGTGCCAACAGAGGTCCTTTGGTGAGATGCAGTGTGGCTGTCTTCGCAGAGGGCACACAGCAGCTTGTGCTTTCTCTGGTGGCGGCCACATCCCCCCCACACACACAGGCCCGGTGAGCTGGTGACCCAGAGAGCCGGTGAAGAAGGCCCTGAGTCCCCCCTGCCAGGCCCCTGTGGAAGGGGACAGTGGTGACCTTGGCCCCCTGTGTGCCCACTGGCCTGATTTTATCCAGACGACCAGAGTGCAGCTCGGGACCCCCCTTATCCAGGCCACAGAAGTTCCCACTTTATCCATTTGGCTCCCAGCTTTCCCTGTGCCTCGTCAGTGCTCTATAACCAGGTTAGGGAGACACATCATCGTCATCATACTTACACCCGGGGCTTCCTGCCCATCCCAGGCGTCCCCTGGCTCTCCCCTCTGCCTCGTCCAGAAAATGAGAGGAGCCCCAGGGAGTGCTCCTAGGGAGGGGACCGGGTGGCCCGATGGCAGGCAGTACGTGGTCAGCCCCAGGTCGTTCTGGCCGAGCGAGCCTCTCTGGGCTGCATGCCAGAGACACCGGGGAGCTTTCTCAGGTGGTCCCAGCCTGAGTGAGCGTGAGCGTGGGAGTGCGTGCCCCTGGG